CCTCCCACCAATACCAATATCCCGTTTCCTGTAGGAGGGGATCTGCCTCCTCTTCTGTCCACTGGGACAGGACCTGATACCTGACCTGACTTCCCCATCTGAAATACCATCAGACGGAGAGCCTGTAGGAGGGGATCCGCCTCCTCTTCTGTCCAATGGGACAGGACCTGATTCCTCCCAGGGGATCCAACCTTGTCCAGACGGCCACCTGGTGAGTCTGTCCGTCCCTCCCTGGAGTCTGGCTCTGGTTGTAGCCCAGCCACCCGGGGGGCTGAGTTGCTGTCACAAAGGAGAACCTGGAATACTGTTGGGCAGCGCCACCTCGTTTGCTGCCGAAGTCCCTTCCCCCGGTTGGCCGGAGCCACCAGTCCAGCGGCTCAAGGGGCCGGTGTGGTTGTATCTTGCTGGGGCCTCCAGAAATGTTACAGAAATGATGGGCCAGCCAAGAAACAAGCACCACTCGGAGGGTTGGAATACTCAGATGTGTTACGCCGGCGGGCTCAGAGGGGCTTCTGCTCTGAAGCTCTGAGCACCTCCAAGACATGCTCATGAGGTTTTATAGGGTAAAGTACAAGCTTGGGGTATTCGGCCAATAGGCATGGAACAGCTTTAGCAGCATCATTATCACAAAAGTGGGGGCAGGGAGGCAGCAAACCAACATTCCAAAGCCAGATATATCTCTTTGAAAATCCAGCTGGCTAGCAAAAAAACATGAACAGCAAACCAACACTAATTAACTTAGATTTACAAGTTAGTCCAGCAGAACTCAGATCAGTATTCCAATACTTAGATTTGTGAGTTATCTTGTTAGACCAGTCCGGCTTTTCCTTCACAGTTGGAACTTAAGAGCTCTTACTAGCCCATGAGCGCTGAGGCAGAAAATTGAAGTAAAGAATCAGACCCTTTTGAATTGTCACCCCTCCAAGATTTCTAAAATTTCTCACCTTTGTGTACCATGTTCAGATGGTGTAACAGAATATAAAGTCTCCTGGAAGCGAGAAAAAAATTGGATTCTGTTTCCAGCTCTCTCTGACCCTGGGCAATTGATATTACCCCTCTGGGCCTTTGTTTATTCAACTATAGAACAAGTGGGCACCAGGCTGATTGTTTCTCAAAGCCTAGTCCTCAGACCATTTGCTTTAATATCGTTTAGGGGTAGGATGGTGCTTGCTATAAAATACACATTCCTGGGCCCTGCCACAGTCCTACTGAATCAATGTTTTTTGGGGATGAGGCTCAGGAATCTGCTTTTTAAAATAAGCTTCCCAGGTGATTCTTATGCTCTCTTCTAAACTTTTTATTGAAGTATAGCACACTCGTTAAGAGTTGGCGGATTATAGGCTTAGAATAGCTCTAACATTTCCTTAAAACTTTAAAGAATTCTAAGAATTAGTCCATTCAACACATTTACGCATGGGCACAGTTACTAATAAGCATGCAACTTCAGCAGTAACCGTTTCAGATCAGAGTGTAATTCTGCATGGTGTGTAATGGTCTCTCAGTGATATGGAAAAACAGAATGTTTTTCAGATGTGTGTCCTCTCTCAAAGGTCAGTTTACTTCCAGAGAGTGCCATAGGTCCACTGGAAAGTTCAAATTTGATCTGAATGTCGAGATTTCATTGTATTCTCCATGTATATTGACCAAAGTATAATGCTCAATGGCTGAGGACTGTTGCCCAGGCAGGAAAGGAGATATGTGGCTGTAGTTCTGATTTGATTCCAGAACCAAATTCTATGATACTCATTTAAAGCCAAGCTTCTTTGTTAATAAAGCACCCAGTCCTTGACCCCCCTCACCAGGGGTCCTGGGATAATATGCAGGTAAAAAGTATTTAAATCCCTCCTGAAGTGGTACAAAGATCACTGTGCTAATAACTTCCTTCTGAATCAACTGGTGAAGTAATAGATTTAAGAGAGCTTTCCAGTTACTAAATGGTGAAGTTTTCTCTTTTCTCAGGCAACTAGAAATTGTTGGGGATTTTCTTGAAAGAACTGCCCCCTTCAAATAACTTGGCTGCCTTTAAGGTTGTTTCCCTGCTTTTAAACTTTTATACAAAGCCTTCACTTTCCCTCCGGGATTATTTATTTTGCACCACATGGAACAGGTGAACAGGTGTGCAGGTTTCCTGGTTTCCCACAAGTGAACAGACATCTCATCTTTCTGTGATACTAGGCAAAATCCTTAGCTTGCTTCATTTCCTGAGCTCTGAAATGAAGTGGGTTGAACAGAGGGATGTGTAGTTTCTTCCAGCTCTAACAGTTTCCATTCTGTAAAGGAAGGTAGCATGATGTAGGGAAAGTCATGGGCTCTGAAACTGGACTGACCTAGGTTGGAATTTGAAGCCTCAGTTTCTTCAGCTGTACGACAGGGGGTAATGATACGTTAGTTCAAGTTAGTAAAAGCATCCAGCATAGGGCTTAGCACAGAAAGACATCCCAGAGAGTTGCGATTTCCTGGCTCCCTATTCCTCCATGTCTTTTAGCCTACACTTGGTTAGGCCTCCTCTTGCAGATAGAGTGAGAAGCATCCCCTGGTCCTATTCAAGTGCAGGGACAAGCTTTCTAGGAAGGGAAAACAACAGCCCTGTGGGTAACAGGTTCTCAGTTTCTTCCTGACCTGGTCACCACTGGAGCATGAAGTTGTCATTTCATGTTGAAACATGGCAGGAGGTAACTACAGAACTAAAGGTCACTGTTGCTATATATGTAATGGGGCACCATAGCAGATGCCCAAAGTCTTCTCCTTGGGGATCAGGTGGGGTCACCTTCTCTCTGCAGTGAGAGCTGGAAGCAGCCTTGAAGGTCTATTACAGAGGAGGAACCTCAGGTACAGAGAGAAGTGACTTTCCCATGACCACATAGCAAATCAAGTGGCAGAGAACGTCTCTCTGGATCCTCTGGAGTTTACACTCAAGACCCTCTGCATTTTAATGCGGATGTTGTCAGCACTGGGTAAGAGCTTGGATTCTGGAGGTACACAGACCTGGTTAACCCCCTCTTCCCAACTCTGTGACCTGAGGCATAAGGCTTCAACTCTCTGGCCCGCTTGGTCCCATCTGTAAAGTCTAACAGTCAACCCTACCTGTTGTGAACATTAACAGCAACACTGTAGATATAATGCTTAGCGCAGTGTCTGGCCCGGTCAATTTCCACAACAAATGCTTCTAAGGATCATTACTTAAAATTTTGAGGAAGGGTTGCCATCCCCTCGCTTACACCTCTAGTTCGGATCAGAACCTCCCTCTCTTAACCCCGAAGCCACGCTGTGGCAGATTCCTCAAGGCGCAGAGGAGCCCAGCCCCAGGGTGAGGCGGTCCCCAGGCTCACCTGGCGAGGCCAGTAGCACCTTCGCCCCGCAGCACTGGAAGCAGTGCAACAGGGACTTTGCGCGGATGTTGTGGTTGAGGCACGCCATGGCACAGCCCAGCTTGACCAGCCCCAGCCACAGCCACACGTAAGCCGGCTCATTGCCCATGAAGATCGCCACGCAATCTCCCTGCCGGAGGCCGAGGTGGTCGCGCAGCGCCCGCGCCACTTGGTTGCTGCGCCGGTCCACCTGCGCGTAGGTGAGCGTCTCATCGCGGAAGAGCACGAAAGGCTTGTGCGGGATCTGGCGCGCTTTGTCCTGGAAGGCACTGAGGATGGTGCGCACCGGCCGGCGCTGCCCGTGGCGGCGCACCTGCCGGGCCACCCCGGCCAGCCGCAGGAAGTAGTTCAGATCCTGGAAGAAGTAGGGGCAGCAGAGGTTCATCAGCAACGGCAGGAGC